AACGGACAATGACCCAATACCCAATTTAGTACCACTTAGTGTTTTTCGAACAACTAAAGTGCATATTTCCAATACTACCACAAACACCAACAGTGACAACTATATCAAATTTCAGGATTTCAGATCTATTCCTCACCCAATACAAAATTTAGTATTATTTAGTACTTTTCGTAGAATTACAGTACAAATTCCCCACACTAACTCCATGTCTCAATTCTAAATACCAACGGAGAATTCAGTATCAAATTTTCGAATTTCAGCTCTATTCCTTCACCCAATACCATATTTAGTACCATTTAGTACTTTTCGTATAAATAGAAAGCACATTTCTACAGGGTGAAATAAAAAAAACTGCAACAAAATCAAACAACATAATTTTTACATTTTTTTTTAATTTTATTTAAAATTTTATTGAATGAAAGCAAAAAATGTCGGAAATAACATGACATTTTAGAATAAGTTAAGATTTGTTAGAGTTGGTCACCTTTGGCAGGTATTATGGCCTTCAAACGGCCAATGAAACCGTCACACGCTACCCGAATGTTGCTCTGCGGTATTTTGTCCCATTCCCGGAGAAGCGCTTGCTTGAGGTGATCGACACTTTGGTATTTTTTAGTGCTAACCGTGCTTTCCAAAATATTCCAGACACAATAGTCCACCAGATTAGTATCCGGAGATTTTGGTGGAGCGAGGAACCTCATTTTGTAACCATTCTTGGGTGGCGCGTGCAGCCAAAATGTTTGCATGCCCAAGGCTTAATACACCCTCCAGAATATTATCGCGATAATATTCGGCATTTATTCTGATGTCACGGTCGATTAATACGAGGGGGAGAGCAACCATCCGCTGTTATGGAGGCCCACACCATCACCATGGCCGGCGCTTGAGTTCTGGTGGCCAACCGAAATTGCACATTTTCAGCTGACCTCTTTGGCAAGGAAAGACGATCATTTTGTTTGTTTACAAACTGCTGGACAACGAATATTTTCTCATCGGAGAAAACCAAATTCGGCAGTTCACTACTTTCGGCCAAGCGAAGCAACTCTTCAGCTCTATTGAATCTATTTTCTTTCTGCTGCGGTGTAACTTCTGGCACTTTTTGGAATTTCAATGGCTTTAGCCCGAGCTCATTTTTCAATATTTTCCGAATGGAATATTGCGAATGGTTGTGCGAAGCGTGTTTCGATAAAGTCGCTTCTTTACTTTTCGAACCATTTCTGCTGATGTTGCTGTTTTCTTCCGTCAACTTCCTTAACCACCGATGGTACGAGACACAAAAGATTTATTCACATTTAAGTGATGGAGTGCTCTAGCCACTTGTGGTTTTCCAGCCAAATAGAAAGAAATCACACTTTATCCTTTAAAAAGTCTTTAAAAAAATCCACGTTTATGATCTTTTAAATATCCTTTAAAAAATCTTTAAAAAATCGAAGTTTATAGTCCTTTAAAAATTCTTTAAAAAATCCACGTTTATAGTCCTTTAAAAAATCTTTAAAAAATCCAAGTTTATAGTCCTTTAAAAATTCTTTAAAAAATCCACGTTTATAGTCCTTTAAAAAATCTTTAAAAAATCCAAGTTTATAGTCCTTTAAAAATTCTTTAAAAAATCCACGTTTATAGTCCTTTAAAAAATCTTTAAAAAATCCAAGTTTATAGTCCTTTAAAAATTCTTTAAAAAATCCACGTTTATAGTCCTTTAAAAAATCTTTAAAAAATCCAAGTTTATAGTCCTTTAAAAATTCTCTAAAAAATCCACGTTTATGGTCCTCTAAATATCCTTTAAAAAATCCACATTTTTAGTCCTTTGAATATCCTTTAAAAATTGTTTAAAAAATGAAAAGTGACAGCTCTAAGCAACTTGGTTTATTTCCAATAACAAAACCAATAACATTGGCTTCTATGACAACCGAAACCGACAAAATTTTAATTTGAAAATAAAACCGATAACATTGATTTTCATGACACCAAAGCATATTTTCTTGTCGTTTTTAAAACCAATAGTGATAAAATTGGTTTCTATGACAGCCCTGATTATACTTCTTTTATGGCCCTGCCAGACGTTTCTGTCTATTGAATAAAAACTGGAAAACTTTTCCCTTCGCACGATTTGAATAAATCCACTTCAAATATTTACCTGTAATTTTTCATTGCACCGGAATATTACAAACCCACTGAGGTCAAACTTAATTAAAAATAATTGATGAATTTGTTTTATTACTTTTTTGTCTACAATTTAAATTGCATTCTACTCTAAGCACGTTACTAGAAATTATCCATGTAATTAAAAACGAAAAAAAAGTTATAATTAGCGATGACATACAATAAAATTTACAGATTTTTGTAATACAACAAATTATCGAAATGAGGAAAAATATGAGGGATTTAGGATGTGGGATGAGATAATGCAGCAGCAGCTTGACATGCAATTTACATTTATCCAATTTTGAAATCAAGAAAAAAAGTTGGTAAAACAATTGGAACTTTAGTTGCATCATGAGCTCTGTCAACTATAAATATGTCGAAGTTTTGGCGAAATTATTGTAGTTTTCCAACTGTTTCGGTTACTGACTAGTTGAGTGTTAGAACAAAAAATCCAATCAACAATATGAAGTTCTTGATATTTTTGTTAAAATTTGTTTTCGTTGTGTTGTTGGTGGTAAGTAAGAAATGGAAAATATACTTTTCCAAATATATAAGGATTTTAAATTTTAAATTGTCGAAAAAAATTTAATCCTAGTTGACCCAAATGGCCATGGCCCAAGGAGGTGGTGGCGGTGGACAAGCCGGTGCTGGAGCGGGAGCTCAAATGGGCATGGGTGCTGGAGGCGGGGCTGGTGGCGGTGGTCAAGGCGGTGCCGGCGCTGGAGCCCAAATGGGAATGGGCGCAGGTGCCGGTGGTGGCGCTGGTGGCCATGGTGGTGGTGGTCCAGGAGGCCGTTAAAGTGCATCCTTCCCTATGACTACAACCCTATCTACCTGGCAAATGATTTTAATGAGTGTTTCCTTAAAATTATTAATGTTGATATCTATGGATAAATATAAGTTACACCATCCTTCCTCTCTGACCTAACCCAAGAAATTGCGCTAATGACTTTTGGCCAATAAAACTTTAATTATATCCTAGCAATCAGCATTTTTTACAATAACGACGGTGTTGAAACATCTACCTATAAGGAATCGCAGAAGCTCTTTGTCTACGGAAGACATCGCCGAGGAAGGAGTTGCAGATAAGGCAAATATTCCCTAATAGTTCATCTCGTTTTTTACTATATTCTCCACCATTCCATGGAGGGTATATTAACTTTGTCATTCCAACTGTAACTCCTTGAAATACTCAAGTTAGACCTCACAAAGTATATATATTCTGGTTCAGCGTAAAAAATATGATTTAGCCCAGCACGCCCGTCAGTTATTGTAAAAATGAATTAAGACATGAAGTTAAAATTTTGCATAAATTGGTCTTTTATATGCTGGCAGGTCAAATTCGAAGGTGGGCTATATCGGTCCACGATATTGTATAGCCCCCATATAACTGTACACCCGATATTCGGTTCTTTTTTACGATTTTAGCCACATATGTCAATGTCTGTTGTAATCACGTTATTGTAAAAACGAATTAAGATAGGAAGCTAAAATTTTTCATAAATTGGTCTTTTATATGCTGGCAGGTCAAATTCGAAGATGGGCCATATCGGTCCACGATATTGTATAGCCCCCATATAACTGTACACCTGATATTCGGTTTTTTTACGATTTTAGCCACATATGTCAATGGAATTGTCTGAAAATCCACACAAGGAATTAGTTCTGAATATTTTACCCCCTGGAAGAGGATTGTCAATATAGATCCACGATATCGTATATTCCCCATGTAACGATACCTCCTGATATTCAGTATTTTGATTATTTTAGCCAAATTTTTCAATGAAATTGTCTAAATATCCACACCAGAAGTTCCTTTTTAGTATATTACCCCCTGGAAGGGAATTGTCTTTTTATGTTCACGATATCGTATAGCCTCCATACAATGGTACCTCCCGATATTTGGTATTTTAATGATTTCAGCTAAAGTTTCAATGAAATTGTTTCAGATTTTGCATCTAAAGTTCGTAATGGCTGTACTACAGTCTATTGCAAAAAATTGCGTATGCAGGTCTTCACGTCTTTGTACAGCCCACATATAACGATACCTCCCAATGTTCGGTAGTTTGATGATATTAGTGACGTTTTTGACCGGCCAGAAGGAGTTGGTCGATAAATTCCATATATTCACATTACATCTCCATCTCCGGGGGAGATCCCGGAAGGGGTGGGTCTATATCTATCATCTTTACACCAAATCTTGTGTTAGTATAAATATTGGAAGTTGCGAAGTTTAAAAGAAATCAGATGTTTATTTCGCATTTCATGAGATATATAATTATTTAAAATTGTGACCCTTTGTGGGGAAGGTATTGAAGAGATTGGATCGATATATCGTATCTTCAGATCGTTTGTTCATGAAAATGTTGGGATGCGTGAAATTTGAATGGAATCGGGTGCTTATTTCGCTTTTTAGGAGAGATATGATTATACAAAGTTTTGATATGTTTATTCAAATTTGTGAGGGAGGTACCGGAAGGAATGGACCCATATACCTCATCTTCACTCCAGATCTTTTGTTTTATAATAATATTTATATGTTTGAAATTTGAAGAGAATTGGGTGTATGTTTCGCATTTCATGAGAGATTAATTATTTTACATTTTGACACCCTTGTGGGAGAGGTACCAGAAGGAGTGGTCCGATATATTTCATCTTCATACCAAATCTTGGTAAAAATATTGAGAAGTGTGAAATTCGAAAACAATTGGACTATTATTTTAAACTTTATAAGAGCTACAATTATAGAACTGATACGAATATTGGGATTTTAAGAGTTTGTAAAGCATTGAGTGATCATTTCTTGTTTTTTTTTATGTAAATTGATTTCTATGAAAATGCGGACATTTTTGGAGGAGGTACCAAATGGGGTGGACGATCTAAGTTTGGCAATAATATTACGATGCACCAAGTTTGGACATAATGGGATACTCCCTTCGAAAGTTATCGTGCACACCAGCCAGACAGACAGATGGACGAACGGATACCCTTTGATCGACTCCAAATGTTCTGAAACGGATTTCGTCCAAATATACGTAGGGTCCAAAACGGTTATTTCGATAAGACACGTTTTGGGGAATAAAAATTCAGCTCTTCCGTTCGCCTAATTCACATAACTCATCAGCGCACCATCCTTTAGCTAAACATTTTAAACCCTCCACCATACATAGTATACCCTCCATATTAAGTTCGTCATTCCGTTGGTAACTCATCGAAATAATACATTTAGACCTAGTCCCGTTCTGATATTCGACAATTTTATAATTTTAACTACATTTTTCAATGCAGTTATCTGAAAATCCACAAAATAAGTTATTTCTGAGTACTTTACCCCCTGGAAGAGATTTGTGTATATAGGTCAACGATATCATATAGCCCCCATACAACGGTTCCCCCACTGAATCGTTTCAAACATTTTTATTTAGCGTTGGCAAGTGTGCCGCCAATGTGAAAAAGTTGCGTCTTCGTATAGGCCCCATATAAAAGTACATCCCTATATTCGGTATTTTGATGATTTTAGCGACATTATTCACCAAAATGGTTTCAAATTTCATATTTGAAGTTCCAATTGGGTACTACAGCCTTTGACTTGACTACGCAGGACCACGTCTTCGTATAGCCCCCATATATCGGTACCTCCCTATGTTCGGTACTTAAACGATTTTAGGTACAATATTCTCCGGAATTGTTTAAAATTTCGTATTTGAATTTCCAACTTTGTTCCAGGCTTTGTATAGGTCCAGGTCTTTGTATAGCCCTCATACATCGGTACCTCCCAATTTTCTGCATTATGATGATTTTAGCTATATTGTTCATCGGATTTTTTCAAGTTTCGTATTTAAATATTGTAATGGCCTATGGAAAAAGTTGCATATGCAGGCCAACGTCTTCGTATGGACCCCCATATAACGGCGACTTCCTATATTCAGTGTTTTAAAGATTTTAAAAGAATTTTTAACGGATTTTATTTTTTAAAAATTTCCAAATACGTTCCATATGATACTTGTTTTTTTTTTGTTTGTGGTACTACCTTTTCGTTTCTTTCGTCATGCCATAGAACTAAAATAATCTAAGGAATTGGAAGAACATCCTAGTTACACATGAGGATCGAGACTGGAGTGACTCCTTAAGGCAGATGACCGCACCTATCCAGTTGGCTAGTTAGCCAGCCCCTTAATCCCCTCAAATGGTTTCCAAATGCATTTCTCGGTAAGTCCTTGGTTTGAAGAAAGCAATTCTGCTCCAAATCCTGAAGAAGTGTCTATAAATTTTTATACTCTACACCACAAGGCGGTCAGGGTATTATGTCTTTGGGCATTTGTTTGTTACAGGCAAAAGGAAACGAGATAGACCGATAGTTCCTTTTGATGATCTGCATAGAATCACATTCTGAGTCGATTTATGCATGTCCGTCCGTCCGTCTGTCCACGTATTTTTGTAAACAAATTACAGTTCGCATTTATTGCCCTATCCAGATGAAATTTTGCACAAATCTTTTTTTTGGACCAAGGACGAACCCTATTGAAATTGGAGATAATCGATCAAAATTTAGATATAGCTCCCATATATATCTTCCTCCGATTTGCCTTTTATTGTGCACCAAACGTGTAGTATCAGTCCGATTAGTATGGAGTTTTGCACGTACGATCAGATTGGACCTCAAAATAAGTATGCCAAATTTGATCGAAATCGGTTCAGATATAGCTATAGCTCTCATATATATTGTTCATCCGATTTGTTTTTTTTTGTCCTTCGCAGCCGTAATATGCACTCTATAACAACAATATTTGGGGAAATATATCAAATACAGCTCAGAAATACATTTCCTAAATTTTATCGAGATCGCTTCCGATTTGGATATAGCTCCCATATATAACTTCGTCCGATTTACCTTGGATTGTGCACCAAACGTCTAATATTTGTCCAAATTGGATGAAATTTGGCACTTACGACCGAATTGAGTCTAGAAGCTAGTATGTCAAATTTGGTGAAGATCGGTTCAGATATAGCTATAGCTCCCATATATATCTTCCTCCGATTTGCCTTTTATTGTGCACCAAACGTGTATTAACAGTCCGAATAGTATGGAATTTTGCACGTACGATCAGATTGGACCTCAAAATAAGTATGCCAAATTTGATCGAAATCGGTTCAGATATAGCTATAGCTCTCATATATATTGTTCATCCGATTTGTTATTTTTGTCCTCCGCAGCCGTAATATGCACTGCGTAACAACGATATTCAGGGAAATATATCAAATATAGCTCAGAAATATCTTTACCAAATTTTATCGAGATCGGTTCCGATTTGGATATAGCTTCCATATATATTTTTATCCGATTTCAAATTAATTGTGCACCAAATGGGCAATACAAGTCCGAATCTAAAAGATACAAATGCTTCGCCATATTTAGTCCTTTGAACTTTAAATTATAATTATAATCATAGCGCGTATGATTGAATTCTCCCATAAAAACTTTTAATTGTTATGCGCAGCTCTACTAAATTAGCAAAGTGGTGTAGGGTATAATAAAGTTGGCCCCGCCCGACTTTAAGCCTTTCTTTACTGGTTTCGTATTGCAAATTGTCTCATTTTCATTTTCGCTTTACCAAATTTGTGTTTTTTCCCTGCAATAAAAACTGTCCACCCTTGAAGTCACCACCACACCACTTCACTTTACACAGAAAATAGAAAAAACAGAATTTCATAATTCTCTAGAATTTATAATGATTTGTTATGTTTTATTATTTATTTCGTTGGCATATCATCGAAGTTGGATTGTAAATTACTTGATGGCGCCAGACGACGGGGCAAATTGTTACTTGTCCGCATAAAGAAATGTACGTACATATGTATGTACAATCAAACTAACATACATCATTTGTTCGACTCGATTTTGTGGTATAATTTTATTGATTACTGACAAACTGAAAATATAGACAAAAATCCATGCACATTTCTACATATCAAGCTGGTACGTCA